AACCTAATTTCGCTTAAGTCATTATCGACTGTATAACAACACAATGCCACATACTGCCTAATATTGATTTTATTTAGTCTATATTTACCTCTAATATCAGTTCTCTAACATTTATCTTATTTGATTTCATTTCCGGAATGTTACCTTATTTTATTTTTATTCTTATCTCTACTTTTCTAATATCTAGCAAAAGAGTCTATTGTTGTATGTTTTATTTGTACTGATTTTATCCTCTTTAATGTTTCATAACACTGTTTTGTCAGCTGCTGAAATTCATTAAATTAAATTATTGCACTTAAGTGGTGGATCAAGTTATTGCACAAAAAATAAGTAAGAAAAAAAAAACAAAGACGCTAATTGCACATATTGGAAAAGAAAAACTATAAATATATTGCATCATTTATCAAGGTGCAAATCATCCTTTAGATAAGTGCTTCTCAACTCCAGGGGGGCCTCAGGGGTTCTTGAGGGCGTACAGAGAGGAATAACTTAATCCTATCAGACAGGGACGACTGAGACTGCCATTTTATCAAATACCAAAAAGGGTGGGAAGCACTGCTCTATCTAACACAGATGGTCCAACAGAGACAGGAATTGATTCATTTATGACTTTTAAATCTCCTAATCTCCTTTCTTTATACTTATTTTGGTGTGATAGAACAGCTGGGAGTCGTGCAAGTAAAGCCTTTAACGCTGAATCACAACCATGTTGGGTTCTCGACACCACCCACCAGCCAACACTAGCAAACCTGTATCGTGACTGGGCAGGATTTCTACTGACCAGTCAGTCTGAAAGAAACCAAACTATTGTGTCATGTATCCATTCTGTGCGTATAACTTCTAACAGAGCCATCCCCATTCATTTATTTAAATAAAACTGCATTTTATCTGTTTCGTGAACAACAAAGAAAGCATATGGATGTTCATTAGAAGTCATTAACACTGCTTTCCATCTGCTCCTCCTCACTGGCAGTGTTTGCTGAGGTGGAGGCAGCTGGGAGATTGTGCTACCTTGATGGGTTTGTATTGAGAACTGGTCTCCATAATGACAGGGCTTCACATCCCAGGTGTATGGAAGAGTGATAACAGGGTACAGTGGAGCTTATTGGGCCATTCAGAGACAGTCCTGTGCAGCTTTTGTCGATCACACCTGCTGACAAAATTGTTATATTGCAGAATGAGAGTCTGCACCCCTTGGTTCAATGATTACACCATAAAAAGGCATCTAAAAAGTCTGATAATAGCCTCGTTTTCTGGTTTCAGTAGCAACCATGGACAAATAGTTTCACATTATGTTTTTGACAGCTGTAAAATCAGTAATTAAAAGGGAAAATGAGATGCAATTAGAGTTTATTTATATAGCTACATACTGTCACAGCTGTGTGTGATAATAAAACACATAATGTAATAGAAATACCTGGAAATTTAGAAATTAAATACAAATACAATTACGCTGTGTCTCCAAATGACGGTTATAAATTATTTTTGGCGTCATGTGCATTTAAAAGGCGCACAAATAGCGTAAATAACGTTATGTTAACGTGATATAACGTTTGTCAGCAAGCTAAAATAAATAATTACAAACTCTATACTAATTACTCACCCATTAGTCTTTTATCTTTGAAGCTCCCGCTACATTTTGATAAATCGTTGAGGTTATCTCTGTTTCTTTTGTTGAGATTTATAAGGAAATCTGTGAGCAGGTCAAAAGAAGCCTCCCGAAACTTGAAACTTATACTTCGGCTCGGAGAATAAAGGAACCTTTTCGCCATTTGCACTGACTAACGGCTATCTTCTGAAAACACAAAAGCTCTCGTTAGTTTATAATCAGGAATAAATTGGTAAACTAGAAATAAATCGTGCCTGACGCTTGTATTTTCCGGAAGATGGCGCTAATTCCGCGGTTTTCACCCCCAGAAACAATTCAGCGTCTTCTAGTAGGAACTATATATAGCTGCTGTAGAGGGTGGGGGCTCATTTGGCTGTAGCACAATCCTGTTTCGGCCGGACAGTACCGCCTGGTGCTCAGCGCAGATCTCACAACGCACGGATGCGCATGCTCCCTGCGCAGGAAGCGGCCAAGTCCATCCTATCACTTAACCATCCGCTGTGCGCATAAACGCTGCGCAGCAACCTTTTCCAAGCCCCTCTTCGACTGCAGACATGGCTGACAAGACGCCGCCGAAGCAGCCCAACAACGCGCCCTTTGCGACCAGGATAGACCCGATTAAAGAGGGTCTGTCGCGGGAACAGGTTCATTTCATCCGACAGGTGGAGCTTGAACAGTGGAAGAAGAAGGCACAGAAGCTGCGGACGCGAAACGTGGTGACGGGACTCGCCATTGGAGCACTCGTTATGGGGATTTGTATCCTTCACTAAAACGTCAACACAAGGTGAACTATGTAACCTTAGCTCAGCGTGCTGAAGTTACTCTGGAGGTCCCCGGTTGTGAGTTAAGACAATGTGAAGTCTCTGCATTATGTGTGTGTTTCTCGAGTGTTTTATTTTTTATATGGCTGGTAGGTGGCGCATTAAAATGTCTTTAGCAGGGTAATGTTACAAAAGTTTCCTTATCATGCCAGTTCGCTTTGACAGCGTTAACTGCAAAAGTGCAAACTGCAAAAGTGATTTGGCGTGCATCCGCAAAATAACTATAAATGTAAGTTATGTTGACTTTGTTCTTTATAAAAACCGTAGGAAACGTTTTAATTAGCGTTAAGTTAAAGCTTCTCTTATGTAAGTCTGTCTGATTCCTTTATATTATAAAGGAATCATCATATATCATTATATATAACGTTATGGTATTGGTCAGCTTTAGCTGAGCCCAGTCA